TCTCAACCAAGGGGGGCACAGCATCCTCTGGAACCATGAAATCCTTTTTTGGGTGATGCACAACATTAGTAGTATTGAGTGTATAAACATGACTTGCAAGATTAATTCAGCAATTTCAAATAGGACTACATAGTGTCAAAAATATTCTGACCTGTCATGGTCCTTCTATAGCAAAGAATTCAGAAAAAGATTGCTTCAATATTTTTCCATAATCAAGAAATGAGTGAAAACTAAAAGCTGGCATTTTCCAAGAGGTGCCTCAAGTCTAATGAGGTTGAGAAGCACTGCTCTAGTCAAAGGTCACTAAGCATTTTACAGAATAAATTCCATCAAGAATATATTGAAGAAGAAAACACAGATTCAACTAGCAGAAACCAGCCTAAACACTGGGTTAAACGGCAATCTCAAAATCAGCAACAACTCTCAGATGAAAGGTTTAACTGCAAAGTCTATTAGAATGCAAAGTCAGCTAAAAGCCCCATTAAATGGTGTCCATTCATTAACTCTACCCAAAACAGTGCACAAAATATTAATACAGCATCAGATAAGGAATGAATGTTCTAAAGAAAAGCAGCACTGCTCAATTAAATCTCTCAATACTCAACCCAAACTTAACATCAATCTTCTCACCAAGGACTACATGCGTGTCACAAGGGACAATTTAAAAACAAATTATCCGAATGCAAGAAATATGCAATGGAGGCAAACCATTTCTCACAGAAGCACTGTCTCCATTCTTGATCAACCAAATGGTTTAAAGTATTTTATTCGAGATTTCCCAAATTTGGTTTTGTCCTATAAATACTTGATACACAAGCTTAAATGATAAAACTACAGACCCTCATTCTTTTTGCCTAGTCACTTAATAAAAAATAAACATTTGCCAAAATGCCATAGATTCAATAAATTTATTGAGAAAAAAAGGAAATATATGGAGAAAATGAGTAGGGAAAACTGAGTTCTTCTGCATTCTCTTCCATTTTCTTTATTTTCTTCTAGTCCTGATAAAAATTCTTGAATACTCTAACTCTCAATCCTTGTCAAGTATTTGTCAATTAAAGGTCTTACACTTTATCCAACGTACAGAACACTGAATGACAGGGGGAACTCCTGTGGGAAAATCAAAAGCAGCTGAAATATGACTGACAAGTTGCACAAGAAATTTATTTCTGCTGAATATTTCGTACTCAGGATGAAAGGGCTACTTTGTTATATCTAATCGTATTGCTTTGATTTTAAATAGTATTTTGATTTTAAATTAACTACAATAAAAGTGTATGGATCCAATGCTGAGAACCCCTGACAATGTTTTAAATGCACTAAATAAACCTATCAGCTCAAATCAAACAATCAAGAAATAGCATTAAAAACCCAATAACCAACTCAAATTGTTCATGTAATACCGTGTTTCACATGCTATCCATATCCAGAGACATAAGAGAAGGAAGTGCCACTTACATACAGCGCACTCCAATAGCTAACGAACACATACTGTTACAGGTCTGAAGAGGATAAATGTTTGAAAAGCCCAACTCCCAGGTATAAAGCATCTTGCCAAGCATTTCTTCTCTCATAGTGAAAGCTCAGGCATCTCCAGTGACTTCAATTACAGCAATGTCACAGGAAGGGAGAGCTCGTCTCTTAAGACTGATTCCCCTAACCCATTTAAATTTTTACAGGTCAAAAGCAACAAGAAACTAGGGCAAATTGTACAGCAGTTTTGATAAGCTTCTGACAAGGGAAAAATGCTCAGCAATGCTCACTGGCTACATTTCTCCAAACAGAAATAAGTAGCAGCCCCAAGGAGTAGTCCAGTTTTATAGGAATCTAATCTTGATACAACAAACTCATGAACAACAGGTGCAAGAAACAGGTAAAAAAAACCAGGGAAAATATTTTACCTATCAATAATCAGGAAGTACTTGACATGGTTGTCGTTACTATATTCTAAACCTATTAGCCGCCTGCCCAGACCCCAATTTATCACATCTGGTCAACATCATTCCTTCCTTTCCAGTTGCTTATGCTAGCCAACCAACATCACCTCAGTAACTCCTGCATTCAGATTTCAGACAGCTAACCAGATGCTAAGGAATGAAATCATCAGCTCCAGCTGTATCAGTGAAAATACAGACATTGCAATGCATGCCACCTTAATAGCCCTCTTCAGAATCTCACACACATGTTAAACAAGACAAGCGACAAAAAAGCAGCCAAAAGAAACCCAAAAAGAGAACACACTCGGGGGGGCATCCACACATGCAGGCATGCGAGCTTGCAGCAGCTCAAATAGAAGCGGTGCAAATTTGAGCCAGGGCTTCTTGCCTCGGCGGACATGCCCGGACATGTACTTTGGTGTGGGGCCCCACGAGGCCCCAGTGGCCCCAACGGTAGCTGCTACTGCCAGTGAATGCAGGGGTTTTTTTTTTTTAACTGACGGGATGCTGGGGCAGCGATCAGAGGGGCTCAGGGGGCAGGGGGGGACTAGGCCAGGCAAGGCAGCCATCGGGAGGGTTCAGAGGGCAGGCAGGACAGCGATCCGGGGGCTGGGGGAGCAGGTGGGGCCGGCAGGTTCCCCCCCATGGTCCCTTCCCCCAGCCCCCTCCACTCCCTACTTACTGGGGGAAACCCGGTTCCAGCTCCCTGCCCTTGGCACACTGCTTCCCCTGCATGGGCAGGCAGTGTGCTTCAGAACTGGGGAGAGGGCGCTTCAGCACAGGGGTGGGGCAAAAGATGCTCTGGCTGGCTACCAGAGTGTCTCTGTGGAAGACTGAGCCTCCAGTTGCCTCAGGGCACAGTCCAAGACTGTGCCCTGCCTTCCCTACTTTTGTTTCCCCCCATGGGTTTTGGAGGTTTTTTTGTTGTTTTTTTTTTATCCCAGGGGTCTAATCTTGCCCCCGCACTGCATATTGTAGTGCAGGGAATGTTTTTTCCTTCCCTGGAAGGGAATCTCTGGGATGCTACAGATTAACAGAAGGTACCAAGTGATTCAAACAAACACGTGTGCCTACATCTGTAATAATATTTGAATTTGACACATGTTTCAACTTTAAGGAGAAAAGTTATACTCTTGGGCTGATACACACCTTCAGTCGTCCATAATTTTTAAAGCCTTAGCAAAACATTTTTCACTAAGAATTATTTGTGTGTGTATTACCAATTTTTAAACCTAACACTGTTTAAGTAATTTATATATCAAAATAGAATTAAGTATGAAAATCTCATTCTTTATGCTGTAACCATAAAATTAAATGCTTTAACTCAAAATTTTAACAACCACCTTAACAATCAGTCATGATGAAACATACTCCAAAGAGAGAATAGGATGAAAGAACCTTCTTCATTAAAGAGATTTTTTTGTTTGTTTGTTTTACCAACACACACAATATGAAATAATGGGAAAGTGTTTAGACCAGTGTTTATCAACAAAGGTGCCACAGCACCGAGATCCTTTTAACATGCCACGGGGCACCGTGCAGTATTAGCACCATTGGTGTACAAACACCTACACATGAGCCACATCTACACAAGACACTTATTATGGAGCAGAATAATTAGTTTTGCAGTAAATGTAACATATCTACATGTGCATCCCTATTAGGCTGGAGTAAACTAATTCACTCTGCAGTAGAGTACTTGTAAATACAAGTACTATACTGTTGTGGAGATTTGTTTGTTTGTTTGTTTTTTGCTCTGCAGCAGTGAGCCTGTATATGCCAAGGAGGCTGGCTGAGCAATGAGGGTGTTTCAGTGCAGGGGCTGCCCACTGGTGAGCCCTGCTCTGAAGCTCCTTCGTGCCCCAGCCAGCCCCTTTTGCAGCGTGTTGAGCCAGGGGGAGCAGCCCTAGGCTGGCAGGCTGACCCCCAGGGCCCCTTGCAAGCCAGAGCTTCTCTGACCCAGCTCAACGTGCTACGGTCCAGAGCACACGTTCAAACAGCATGCCCAGGAGCAACAAACTCCAGAGCAATCAGGTCCCGAGATTTTGCTTTGCATTAATTACATGTGTTGATGTACCCACGGTTAACAAGATAAACCCAGAGATTTGAAATAGAAATGTGGAGTGTCAAAAACACTCTGACCTGTTATGGGCGCGCACAGTTCTTTGCAAAAAAATAACTGCTTTAGTATTTTGCCATAGTCCAAGAGAGTAAAAGCTAATAGCTAGCATTAGGTGTCTTGAGTCTGACGTTGAGAATCGCTGGTTTAGACACTCTACCTTTCATTTGTTGTACAGGAAAAACCCTAATATTCCAAATTTTTGAAGATATAAAACTCATTTGAGTCACTCAAACATTGCTTTTGGTGCAAAACTAGTGGAAATGACCAAACTATACATAGCCTACTATAATGTGACTGATACGATATACACGATATAAGCAAAAGAATAACATCTTGCGTGTAAATGGTCCTACCAACAGAAGGAAGGTAACAATATGCAGCCTAATAACTGTGTTGAATACTCAACGGATGAAAAATGTATGGGACATCAAAAAATGGGAAGAAGAAAATTAGAGCATTATTTATTCAGTACAATTTTTCAAACACTGTCTTCAGTAGTATGCATATTTCAAATATAATAGGCCACATGCAAGAATTTCATCACCAGCAAATTCAATGAAAAATGTAAAAATTACGTGAAGAATTAGTGTTTAGATCAGGAAGTTAAGAAAACATTTCCCTAGCAAAAATAGTTATCAAAACTTTTACCACAACTTTACTGACGTAAGGTAAACAGTAGTATGAAACCTACGGTTAAACTTGGTTAGACAAATATAGACAAAGGATGCTAACCAAAATGAAAAGTAATTAAATGGTTATCATTTAAGTCAGGATTAACCAAACCTAACCAAACCCATCCTACCTGTACTATGAAAAAACCACACAGAATTGAACCCTCATATTAAATAAGTTTGGCCATTGTTATTTAGAACTACTAATAGTGCTTAAGATTTTAAACTCCAGGAAGATGACATTTCTGAAGCAGAAAATTGATTTCTTACCTTCAACCCGTGATTCCAAGTGCTTATCCAGCTCAGCATCTTTTTTCACTGCCTCATCTGAGACCTTAGGGGCATTTGAAAAACAAACTAGCACAATACTCATGTTATCACGACTTCCCTATATAATGGAAAGGGAGGAGGAAAAGAAAAGGAAAAAAAAGGATGTGAGTATGAATTTATCTTAACCCCATATTTTCCTCCCTTGCTATTAAATCGCATCAAATAAATACTGTAATTAATTTTAACTGGACATATTTAATTTTCTAAATATTATAAATCCATGGTAAATATTTATTTCCACTCTCTTAAGTATTTCCTCAATTGTTGAAATATACCAAGAAGATCCAAGGTCAAACATCAAAAATAATGTTACCTAAAACTAATTAAAGTTTACAAATATTCTGAAGTCTAGAATGCAGAATGTTAATGCTAGACTGAGACAACTGCATCACTATCACTAACAGTTCAACTAGAGAATATTCAGCTGAGACTTTACAGCTCATTTCAAATTATTTGTTCATCCTAATTTGTCTTTGCCACTACCCAGGTTGCTTTTCATTTTTTGATGCTGGGAACTTCCAAAAAATAAATGAAATCATTCCATACTGTCAAAACACAATGTTCTGCCTGACCAAGGTGATGCATGTTTAGATGACCTGTAACTTTCAATAAAATTAGTAATGGAAGTTGTTATGCAAAATGATGAACTTCTAATCTGTTTTTTTTCTTACAACTGGAGTCTTGATACATTTTACCTAATCTTACCATGCAGCACATCAACACTGCTGTCTTGATATTCAAAGGCAGGGGCTCAGGCCAGTCACCTCTTTTGTACTTCTCTTTACTGCTCAATTGTAAATTGCAAAATTATAATTCCAACCATAATTTAGTGTTCTGCTGTGCTCCTGTCCTCAGTACATCCCGATTCTCCCACCTTCCACTCTTGCATAATCCTAGGTAAAACTCTTTAAAGTCATCTGTGAAGTTTGTATCTTTACTAAACTCTTTTATAAGACAACTAGATATTTTATTCTTTTCTATCTAAAACTTGAAAAATGACTGAGAAATTTCCTTGCATGTTCAGAAAGAACTTAGAAACAACTGTTACCAAGAGCTTCTTAACTAAACTAGAATGAAAAGCCAAGCGATGATAATCCCATGCCCTCTGCCCGTCAAAGCCTCCACCCTGGGACAGTTCCTACAAGCCGTCACCACTAGCTATCTTGCTACAAAAAATAAAACAGGACTCAACAGTTTGGAGGATAAAGCACAACCACAGCCTGATTACCTTTGTTTTGAAAAATCTCTTCTTGTCCCAAGCTAGAGAGGACTCTTACCTTCTATAGCCAAATGAAAAATAGTTGTTGGAAGATTCCCCCCTTATCCACAGCTGTAGAACCTTTGAGGGCAAGCTTCAAATTCAATGCAAAACTGGAAAATGCTGCAAATTTATTTACATGAAACTTGATACAAATACCCTACTTCTGCTCTGCACTCCACATACGCACAAAATTTGCCTATGTGAAACACAGACAGGAGACGAGCTTGATATTGTATGAAGTGCACAATAATAGTGATGACACTATACATGTACCCCATACATACTGGTTGTGACAGTCTCAAGAGCTTAGCTGTACTTTGGTTTTTGTTTAGAATAAAGCATTCTAACTGGATAAACATTCTTAAAATGGCAGGCTGCTCAGGTAACTAAGTAGACATATCTATGCAGAAAGTCAATATTCCATTTCTAGTTACAGTTAGCAAAGTGTTACTACACTTTTCTCTGAAGTGCCTTATCACTTAGCAAGGATCTCTCCAGTACAGTGAGGCCCCAAAAGAAGTGGAAACCCAAGAGGTAGGAATTTCTCCATGTATCAAGAAGGGAGGAGAAGTTATTTGGATCATCTGAATTACATTAGTGGAAACAAATACTTTTTCTTTATAGAGGATAATGTATTCATCTAAAAAATTATAGGTCAATTCCATAGCATCTTTTGGGGGAAAATTACTTACCTTATGTAAACAAGTATCCACTACCCAATTGCACACTTTTTCCAGGTCATCTGATACTTCAAGCCTAGACTTAACAAATTCACAGAGCTCTTCATTGCTCATTACATCCCAAATTCCATCACAAGCCAAGATGATGAACTCATCCTCTTCTGCCCTTAAAATTTCACAAACCTCAGGCTCTGGAGAAACCAGTTGTTCTGTAGGGCCTTTGCCATCAACACATTTGTAGTCATAGTCCCCCAAAGCTCGAGAAACTGCCAACGAACCATTAACACGCTGAATCATTACACTGCCTCCTGCATTCTGGATTCGCTCCTTTTCCCTTGGATTGCAAGGTTTGTGATCCTGTGTTGAAAAACAGACTTGTCCATTCCTAAAGAGAACAGCACGTGAATCACCACAGTTGATAAAGTACATATGCTCAGGTGAAATCATAACTCCCACAGCTGTTGATCCGCTTCTGTCCATTCCATTTCTGAGGTCTGAAAAATTGCGCATATACTCATCAATTTTCAAAAAGCCAGTTCTGATTCCACTCTTGACATTTTCCACTGAAGGCTCAAGAGCGGATCCTGGTTTTTCTGCTGCCCTAAAATCTTCATTGTTAGTGATGTGTTCTAATAAGTGTGATGAGCAGTAATTTGCCACACGAGATCCTGCATGACCATCATAGACAGCAAAAAAGGACCAGTCCTCTAAACCATGGGGAATACCTACAACAGCTGTGTGAGCATCTTCCATTTCCACTCTCCATCCCTGCATACTGCTGAGGCCATAACGCAAACCATTCCCTGCACCGTGAGCATTATGTTTCTCAGTTTTTGGTTTATCCAAAAATGCACCCATGTTTATTTAATATTGAATCTGGAAAACATAAAAGAAAAATCTTATTTATAAGCCATCCAACAATAGTATTTGCATTCAATTTTATGCATTTGTTTCTTTCAATACATTCAATTAACAATGGTACAAAGTGCATGTGTACATGGAATCTGCAAAGGATCCTGACCTTTTTCCTCCCATAACTTTTTTTTTTCTTAATGTTACCCTGTCAAATAAGATATTTTGACAACTTCTTCACCAACGTTTACAATGCGAATATTTTTTCTTTGTCACAGATTTATTTCACACACCTTGCATATGCACATGGAAGTCTTCCAAACAGGAAGAGCAGTTCAGGTGTCATCAAGACTCTGTCATCTAATCCAGTGAATTCCCTGACAGATTCAATCCACACTGAAGAAGGGGAAAGA